ATTCGTCTGGGAGGATGAAACACTGACTTGTACATCGGCTGGCCACCCCAAGTCATTGTATAGGCCACATCGCATTCAATAAGCCACTACGATTCTGAATGGAAGTAGAATGCGTGCCGCATCCCACAAAGGGATTGATCAACGGCGAAGACTTTATCCTTTTATCCTTTACAGCCATCGTCATACTCATAGCCACGCCCCTTGTTGCGCTCAGATATGGAATCATTGGCTATGAACAAAGAAGAATTCAATGTCGTGATGTTGCGTCATGTCATCACTTTGTTCTTCCTGGCTAATGCCGTTTGGACGCGCTGATTTTTGGCTGCGAGCTTATTTTAGAAGTCCCTAGATCTTCAAATCCGCTGAAAACTTGTATATAGAGGTAATCTAACATCCTGTTCACAAATATGACATTCATTCTTGACGCTGGCGCTAATGGAGGACACTACGATTATCTTCTGGGTTCAGCTTTAGCAGAGGGCAGATAATCGTAGTGTTCTCCATTAGCGCCAGCGCCAAGAATGAATGTCATAGTCGTAATCAGGATGTTAGATTACCCCTATATACAAGTTTTCAGCAGATTCGGTGATTTAGGCACTTTAAAAATGAGCTCGCAGCCAAAAGTCAGCGCGTCCAAACCGTTCTTCCTCGGACGCTTTTTCAAAGAGATTTTACGAACTCGATTCTACAGGCTTTTATGAATCGTTTGAGGATTATAGAAGTTATTCTCAACAACAAAGAGATCACATTTTCTAAAACCTAGAGAATGAGTTGATGTGTAAGTACAAGCAGTAATAAGCGCTTATTCGCTAAACATTTGACGTTTTTGGAAAGAGAAGATGTAAATACGTACGACTAACTGACCACGTGACATTTGATCAATGATGAGATTTTAGATTTATTATAGAAGAATTATTGACTAAACAGGGTGGGTACAATCGATGCGGTGGCAGAATGATGTATAGGAATCGGACTTGTGGGTGTGTCCGTCGATTTTAGGTAAGGTACAGCGAGGTCAGGCCTGAGGTATCCAATCTAATAATTGTGAGCGCTAATTACATGCCATCATTATGTGCCCGACTCACAAGTTTTCATCATCATCATCATTTATTACATGAGCGAACTCATGTGGCTACACATCAGCCTACAAACAATGAAACAGAACATCCGAGAAAGTCCCGCACGGGGAAAAAACAATACCACAAAAAAATTTCTAAAATGTGTAAATGTTATCAAAATAAAACAGGGAAGAGCAAGTACTGCTCAACTCGATGCTCAACTCCATACCTTGAAGATGTGGAGGGCGTGGATGCTTGCTTCATTTAGACACGGACAAGCATGCGTTTCTCCCGTCGCTCCATTAAGAAGGCTATCCTGTCTTGTGCTGGACAAACACATGATTACAACTGTCCCCAAACGACA